GCTAAATATATGAAACAGTATTTTTCTTGCTTAAAACTCATCATGGAATTTTTAAAGTACTCTTCTTTTTTTTCTCTCTGTGTATAATGTCTAAATAGTTTTGAAGTTTAGAATGGCGCCATGCTTTCATTCAGCAGTCATATATCTCAGGCATATTGCTTCCATGACACACTCTAAAGACTGCATAAAAACATAGGACAAATATTCAACAGAATGCTGTCTGCATTTCCTCTCTGGTGCATCAGATATCTGAAGTCAAAAATTTACTGCACATTCAGTTCATACAAAATGAAATACAAATACTGTAACATTTTTATATGAATTGAGATTTCATGAAAATTCATATGTTGTAAAAAGATTTCTATATGCAAATTTTGTGTCAAGTAATTTTCTAAATTATGAAATATAAGTTTGGAAATGCCACTCACCTACATTGTCAGAAATCTTTTTACTTTCATACTGGCATCTCTACTGCTTCCTCCATAAAACTAACCGAAACCTTTTTTTGAAAATCCCTAACAAATGGGATAATTGAATTCAATTTGAAAACCAAACAAGCAAAACTATAAATGTAATTGAATTCTTAATATAAATTTAATGAAAATTATCAGCGTTTCAAACATGAAAGACAAGAGCTAGAATGGCAAATATCCCAATGCTTTCTGGGAGAGGGGTGTTTTTTATGTTCTAAATATTAAAGCCCATGAATTTATTTTGAAGTTAATGTAAAAAAAAAAAGAGATTGTTTTAAAATGGTAACTAATTAACTCATTAGATGCATAAGTAAAATAAAAGTCACATAATTAGCATACCCTTACTTTTTAGAAATGTTTTACTTTTTAAAGTCATTCGTCGATATTTTAAATATGAAAAATATCATCTGTCAAAAATGAAAATTTAGAAATGGTACAGAACAGGTGTCCGTTAACAGACAATTTTCAATAATTCATTTACCTATCCCGGGTTCAATGAATCTCATTAAACCTTAAGTTGTTTTTTTAAAAAACATGTTCGTATAAAATCGCATAACTGCTAAATATATTAAAGAAGGAAAATAATAAAGATTTTTAATGTGTTAATAAGGATTATTTGATTTCTGTGAGATATTTTTTAAAATCTAAATTTCTAAGTGGAAGTAATAACAGTAAAAACTTTATTTTTATGTGAAAAAACTAATAAATTTTATTTTTAAGTGAAAAAAGATGTTTAAAACGATCTTAATACATACAGAAAATTATATAAAAATTTTAATTTTTATATGAAAAAGATTTTCAAAGATTTTTTTTAGTTTGCAGTATATTTTAATTAAAATAAAACCAAATAAAAATATCCTAGGGAAGAATTTATTTTCGTTGACGTCAGCGTTTCCATTTTGAAAAAAAAAAGAATTGATTTAAATTCTCAGAGAACTTTCTCTCTTTCTCTCTCTCTTTCTCTCTCTCTCTCTCTCTCTCTCTCTCTCTCTCCATGCTTCCAAGCTAACTATATTCTGCAAAATTTTAAATGCAATGACAATCGCTATCCCGTGTCCTCCTGATGGCTTTTCCCGCCTCTCGCTCATCATTAACGATTCTGTTCCTAATTCTTTCACACCCAGTAACCTTTTGTGTCTTAGTGGCTTTACTGCCATACATGGGCCTTACAAATACATACATATCTATCTATCTATCTATCTATCTATCTATCTGTGTGTATGTGTGTATATATATATATATATATATATATATATATATATATATATATATTATTTATTAAAGACATTTTTATTTATGTTTAACGTTGTTATTTTATAGATACAAGTATTTAAGCAAATGCTCTGTTTATGATAAACAGTATTAAATAACATTTACCGGCCTGAATGTCCGAGAATTTTCATAGAAAATAATCGTTCATAGACTATTTTCTACTGTTTTCTCATAAACAGAGCATTTCTTAAATACTTGTATCATAAATAACAACGTTAAACATAAATAAAAAATGTCTTTAATAAATAAATTGTCGGACCTCGTCCATTTCTTAACATATATATATATATATATATATATATATATATATATATATATATGTATATATATACATACATCTATATAATCTAATTAATGAATAGCTTTAATATTTAATGAATATGTACTGAAAGCTTCATTAAAATAGTTGATATTTTTATCACAGCCCATAAGCGAAAACTAAAGATCTGTGAGGTAAATTCAAGACTTGGCAAGCCGTGAATTGAAGCAGCTGTTTGCTGCCAAGTGTACGATCAATCACAATCACTGCCTAATTCTTCAAGAGTGGGATATAGATAAATACGTTTAAACAATTACTCTTTCCTAAACAGTATGAAAGCATACCAATCGTCGTGTTGAATGGCATTACTCTTGAAATAAACACTATGTGATATGAGGATTATATGGATTATATTAAAGCCCCAAAGTAAAATTCGTATGGCTCATTAAAATATGTCTATGGCTTTCCAATATACTATTTCGTTCACGTGGCCTTCAGTAATGTCGTCTGAATCTCCAGGGAATATTTTGCTCTTGATTAGGAAATTCTGGTTTATAAGTTCTTCCCGTGTCGTCAAAAAAAAAAAAGTGCGCTTTGCATATTTTAATTTTTTTTTTTTTTTTACAATTTGACCGGGGTCATTCTTTTGTGAATGTTGTGAATTCTTATTAAATATTTTATGAATTTTAAAAATATTAATTACACTCACTATTTACATTAATCGGACTATAGTCCTCATCTTTGTCGCCATATTTATTACAACGTTTCGGCCATTGTACGCTCCAGCCTTCTTCAGGTGCTTGGAATGTTCAACTGAACCCTTTATTTTCGCTCACTGGGGTAGACTGTTCTAGTTCCATATGCCATGTTTAATGAATGTCAGTTATCAGTTATCTCCTGTTAATTCCCCTTTCCAAGTTCTCCACTGCCTTAACCGGCTTTTGAACTCACACTCTTTGGGTCCTCTCACTGGATCTAACACCTTTATCCACTGTGTCATATGTCCTTGTAAATAGTGTACAAAATTCATCATCTCATAAATATAGACAGATACATTAATTACACTATTTGCATTTTTCGGATTGTTTTCCTCATCTTTGTGGCCATATTTATGACAAGAATGCTGTTGAACGCTCCGGCCTTCTTCAGGTGATTTGAATTTCGAATAGAACCCTTTCGTCCACGGGGCCAGATTGTTCTAATTCCACGTGCCATGCCTTTTCTAAATATCTCTGGCTTCAGTTATTTCCCTTTAGCCGAGACGTTGTGAATATGTCAACGAAGATGATGACAACAGTCCGAACAATGTAAATAGCGTAAATAGTTGCAATACATCATCTCAGAAATATGGACAGGTATTCAAAAATATTTTATGTATTTGTCATTGCTTTACATCGGAGGATGTGCAATGTGCAATATTCTGTTAGCTCGTATTTTAGATTATCTTACTGAGGCGATGCCAAGTCCGTCTGTGAAGACATGGCGGCGGCTCTACAGTACGTTCCGACATTTTACGCAAATAAGAAAATTCACAATGATAATAGAATTAATTATTGGAAAAGTCTTGTAAAATAACCCGAAATTCTAGATCGCAGCATAAAATAAAACTCAGTTTACCTTTTCATATATGAAAAATTATTTAAAGCCGTTCCACTTTTTTATGCATACATCACAAAAAGTCAAGTGTAGGTGCGTAAGGATATAAAAAATGATAGCTAAAAATTAGACCAACGATAATTTATCCAAAATGGCTTTCAAAACTGCACATGATAATATCCCAGTACAACAACAAATTAAAAAATTAATAATATTTACTAATTTTATTTACATAATTTTTATTTATGAATTGAAATTGCTCGCAGGACAGAAGAGTATTTTTTCAAAGGATTTCGCAAACAACTAAGATTGATTCCCAAAATTAAATTTCAAATACAAGTTAATTGCCCCTTCAAAAATACGTCTCTTGACAATGCTCTAAATGTTTTTGATGGGGTTTATATCCTGGGAAATTGTGGCCGCACAATAAGCCAGTCTTTTTTTTAACACACATTTCTTTTTAAACTATTTTTTAAAATTTGACCTTTAGTAATTCAATTTAAGCAGGAGAAATCATTTTAACGACATTGTCCACTTCCCAACGAACAATCAAATTATTACTGATAATTCTTGCCCAAAACATAACCTCTTTACTTCAAACCACTAGAAGCTTAGTTTCATCCCTTCACATATCAACCATAAGTAGCGCTACCCTTAACTCCTTCGTGGGAACAACTCTTTTCTGGGAACTCAGTTTCATATATTGATTTCCGTTGCTACGCTTAACAAGGAAATCAAAGAACAAACGAGTGGGGCACATCCCTAAAGGCTTTAATATGCGACATCGTGACGTTTGACACATATTTTGTTCAAAGCAATTCAAATGACTTTCTACTAAGCTTTAGTGACTGATTTAGCCTCTCAGATTTTAATCAGGTTTCGATTTCTCGAGTAAAAGATTTCTGCATCTTCCATTTGTCGGGTCACGCGCTGTATAGTGGAGGTAATGAATATTTAGTTTATTCCGTGTCTTTTAGCAACAAAGAGAAGATAATTTCAGAAACGAAACAGCATGAAGTTAATAGACATGAAGACAAATGTTATGCAACAAAAAATGCAGACAAAATATACATAAAACAAATAGAGATTCGCTATGTCCAAAAATGTCTTTGTGGTCTTTGATTTGTTTTTTAGGTTTATCAACTTTTTGCAGATTATTTAAATCCGAAGAAATGTATTTTTAGGCTGTAAGAATATTTTTTAAAAAGAAGATAATGATTTAGTGTTACAAGTTCTACTGATTAACCCATAGTTGGGAGGAGAAGAGGTGGGTTCATGCCTTTCCCAAGGGTATTGGCGCGTAAGTGAATATAACGAACCTGACTGGAATTGGAACTCCACTCTCCGATTAACAATTCTGAATCGTTATCCATTACATTACCCGCACATCCAATCTTAAAGCACTGGTATTCCCAAGCGGTTACCCATCTAGGTTCTGACTAGGTTCAATGTTGCTTAACTTCGGTGATAGTACGGGAGCGAGTGTTTCAACGTGATATGGCCGTGAGCTGTGTGGTAAAAGAGAGAGAATGTAGGTTCTGTGGGGTTTGAGTTTCATCCAAATAATAGACCTTTTTTCGATTATACCCCTCCGCCCTAAAAAGTTAGGGGTAAATCTGAGAAAATGAGGAAAGAAAGCGAGTGTAAATATAAAAATTACCGCTAACTGTCAATAACAATGGGAATTGTGTAAATTGCAGCTGAGGTAGTCAAAACCAATGTTTTGGTCCAATAGTTGTTGTTTGGGTGTGGTAACTTGATCTACTTGTGATGTATTCACTCCGAAAAACCTTTTCTCGACTGAATTTATCGCGTCGTTTTTGCTCTAGCCATTACTATGGTTAGAGCAACTTGATTCTGAAAATAAAAGAAATTATGTTCTTATATATATATATAAAAAAAACGTTACACATCTACCTCGGCATGATTCAAAACTATTTATGCTATTTAGTGGAGGTTCTAAAAATGGTGAAAAGCTAAGCACTTCATTTGGAAGACCATGATTAAATAAATACGAATGCTAAAACATTTTAGCTCCCATTTTTAGAAGTGATGAAATACTGTCTGCTACGATGTTCGTAATAATGTTTTGGCTCGTACGATGGAATTTAAGAAATTCTAATTTTTTATGATCATGAAGCATTTGAATAATTTTTATCTTGCCATCCTATCTTAACTGTAACATGTCAGATAAAAATTGGAACAATTGCAACGAATCATTATTAATAAAATGTTTGCCATATTTGTTATTGTTTCGTGTAATTATAAGTTATTGAACCCGATTGCACAATATCTGTCTATATTTCTGAGATGAGGTATAGTACACGATTTACAATTGCAATATGAGCTCTTGTAAAAACATGATTTGGTAACAGCAAAAAATTGCAATATGAGCACTGTGACATTAAGTCACAAAAATTCATACACAGATGTCCTTAAGGACCCATGGCACAGTGGATAAAGGCGTTGGTTAGATCTAGTGACAGGACCCAGAGTACCTAGTTAAGGCAGGTGAATTAACAGGAGATAACTGATGACATCCATTAGACATGGCACGTGGAACTAGAACAGCCTACCCCAACGAGCGAAATAAAGGGTTCAGTTCGACATTCCAACCACCTGAAGAAGGCCGGAGTGTACAGCGCCCGAAACGTTGTGATAAATATAGTCCGAATAATGTAAATAGTGCCGCAAGTTAAAATCCAGAGAGTCATTCAGAAGATGTTTGAAAATATGTCTTGTACAAAGTTTAGAGTGAACTGTAAAGATAATGCTTAGGGAAATTTACGTTGGATTATTTCTTCACTGACACCCAAACAATCTTTTATTGACAACAGTTCTTTGACATTATTTATATTCGAATCACTTATCTTTGTTGTTCGTATCACAACGTTTCGGCTGTTGTGCCTTTTGTTGTCATTTTTCAGGTGCATGTTGATCTGGGTAACCCCCGAAGTAGTTTGAACTGAACTCTTTATTAAATCTACAGGCGCAGAGTTTTCTCATCTCGTTGTCCATATCTCGGGATATCTCGTCTCGTTCATATTTAGTACTGCTCAGTTATAATTAGTCCTGTTTCCATTGAATATAAATCTGTACTACCGGAACTAAGGATTGAACTCACAAATACTATGTTACCAAATTTATGAAGCAACATTGTAATTCTTTAGGCTACATGAGGTTTACTCGGATCGAGAAACACCTGAAGAAAACCTGACGGTACAACGGCCGAAACGATAAAAACAAACAGAAAGACATTAGTCCGAGTGTAAAAAATGTAAATAATAACTTCTCATCCCAGAAATTCAGAAAGAAAGTATCGACATTTCTTGTAGATGAACTTGTCGGAGCTATCTCCTCCTTAATTTCCTAATTGTTCCCTAGGGGTCGGTCTCCCTACACTATAAATACTGGGCGACTTCTTGCCTCGTTCTCTTTTCTACTTTACATTTCAGCGAACACATTTAAAAATGTGATCTCGCAGAAATCTGCCTTTTCGTCCACTTGTGGGGAAAAGCCACGAAACACACATACACGTACGTACGAATATTCACCAAAATACAAACTCTTTACGTTCACACACAAACACAAATGTTCATGCCTTTGTCACTTGTAAATTTGTTGTTTTAATACATATATTTGTTGATATATATATATTGGTATTATTTGTTTTCTTTACATCTTCGGTTGAACTCAATTTCAGTCCGCCATTTTTTGTAGTTGGACCTTCTAGCAGGAATAAACAGCACGTATTCTTAATTTAACAACACTTTAACCCACTCGGTCCTCTACAAACTGATGGGCATCATGGGAATCAAATTTTCACAAAATTGTCCAGCATTTCAAACTTTTTATAAATGACTCTTGTTTTGTCATATTCTTGAGAATTTACTATTGAAGAAAGAATTTTTACATCTTCGCAAGTAATAAAGAAAAAATTGTGTGCTGAGGCACCATTACTTCTGAGTGGAAATTGTGCTTCAAGTACATATAAACATTTTCTCGTGAAAATTCAATTGTTCAATGCCTGAATGAAGCTGTTAGTCAAATATTAAAGAAGTGCATCTTAGTATCTTTGAGATTTTTAATGCCTGTTGAAACAGAACACCTTTTTATGAAAAAAACTTGCGTTTCAGGGCCGTAGTAGGCAGTGGTTTGTCCTTGGCTCCCAAAAATTTTTATCAATTGTAGCATTTTTTCCGAAAGGAAGTTACATTGAAATCTCCTATTTGGGAAATTTTCAAGACACGATCTTCCGGAAAACAATAAAACATGCAATATAGGAATACAGACGCGATAATAGCTTAAAATCTTCTTGTCGTTGTTTTCTTTCTTTTTTTTTTTTCAGATCCAAATAAAAAAAGAACTAAAAAGATATTTTCCTTCATTAATGAATCTATAGGCTGGTCCGAAAGTCTTGTCACCCCTACGAAAACCGTGATAAGAACAATAGAACAAGTAATACAAAGCACATGGACTGGATTCAGTTTATTCCCTTTCACTGATGCTGTCACACATCGAGAAGGTCCATATAAATACCATCATTTTCGTGTAGCAGCTTATGTCGGCCATCTGAAATAGAAAATTATATTATGTAGGGTGACTAAACTTTTGGACCACCCTGTATATTTTCCCTGTAGACATTCAAAAAAAAAAAAAAAAGAACAGACTCTTCTCTATTATTTCAAAGATGATTTCTGCCAATCTAGAGGTACTGGACATTTTTAATGTTCTTGCCGCTAAGTATGTTAGAGGCCTTTGATATCCTAAGGCTAAATTCTAAAAAAAAATTTTGTCAGCTACCCACTTGCCAAAAAATAAAACATTTTAAATTCTTTTTACACGGTCACCAATTTAAAATGTGTTTATTAGTCATACTCACAAGTAATGTAATAAATAAGCTTCCAATAATTGTATCAAATTTAAAACTGCAATTTATGTACAATTTTAAAATAAAGGATCTTGCTTGTAAAAGCATATGTAAGTTGATTGTCCGTAGGTGAAGTAGTCATACTATTTGGAATATCCGTAGAAACGGATATATCTCTGATCCAGAAAAAGTTCATACAATTTAGTAAATGTGAAAGAAAAGAAAATACAAACATATTGACTCGGAGAAGCTGCTATGTAGTTTCGGTGATCGGTGAACCTTTTGATATCAAGTCTCTTCGTTTAGGGGAAAAGGAGACGGTTATCATAGATTTGTAAAAACGAGTTGACTGACCACAACCTGTTGCAAAGTTTAGTGCTTTTGTTCTCAGGTGATATAAAACTCATTTAAAAAAAAAATTAGTCAAACGAACAACCAATGGATGAAAATTCTCTTTTTATACATTGTGATGTAATTTCTACTATATCCCCATATTCCTAATGTTATTTTAGATTTTAACATTGTTTTTTCGCGGAATGTGCTATATATATATATATATATATATATATATATATATATATATATATATATATATATATATATATATATATATATATATATATATATATATATGTCATACTATATGTATATATAAATATGACAGATTATATTGGCAAACTTCGTCATCATTAATTAAAATAACCTTATCGAATCCAAACTAACGATGACCAATATAGTGTAGCAATTTCACTGGCCAGTAAAAGACTGCGTTTCTTGTGATGAATCAATTAACTATGTTGGTCATACTACCATCTCCTTACGCAGACACTTCACGTGTCACTTATCTGAGCAAAGTGCCATAAAAGGGCACTTAGCCACTCAGAATTTACAACACACAAGGAAAAATCTGGTCGATAACACTAGGTGTTATATCCTATATAGGCCGCGTTTTCGAAGAAATCTCGCCGTGAGAGAGGCCCTTTACGTAAAACATCTCGCACCCAGTATAAATCTCACCTTATTCAGCAGCAGAAATGGTGTGTTGAAGAGGACAGAAAGACGCCAACTCGAATTCCAGCCACGCTCAACTCGCGAATCTTGGAATAAACGCAACTACTATTCAAACAACACAAATACAACATCTTATACAGAAAAACATGAAAAGAAATTAACAACACTTAAAAACAAACCCCCTTATAAATGGTTAAAGAAGTTGCCGAAAACGCTTCGGATAATAGACAATATTAATAATTTTTGCACTCCCTTGCAGCCACAAAACAAACAAATGTAGAATGTCGCAAAAACTAAATAAACAATTCGTCAAATTTCCCTTGTCTGTTTATATTCAACGAAACATGTTTGAAAGAAAAGTTGCTGCCTAAATATAAATTTTATATATATGTGTGTGTGTGTGTTTGTGTTTGCATGATCCTATTTTGTGTGCCTCTGTTTTTTTGTTTTGTTTATAATAAAATCAACTGCCATATCTTCACGCGGTAATCTCTGAACCAGTTGCTTAGTCACTCGTAACTAATTTTGAAGAGTGGCAGCTGAAGGCTTGCATATGAGCACGTACTCAATTAGATTTAATGCAGAAATCCAATGATGTGTGGCAAATAGAACATAGCCAAGTTCATGTCTATATTCCATAAATAAATTTATATGCAAGCTTGGATGGCGGGAAATAATTACATCGCGTTCAATTAAATTTAGAAAAATTCCTATTAATGAAAACACTTTTTTTCTACTGTTTTGAAAGGTGATAACTAAAGCTAAAGGTCTCGGTGATACGAAAAAAACATGTAATCTACTAAAACAGGGTTGGGGATTATAGGTGGTGAGTGGACGATGATGTTCACCCTTTGCCGCAATTCTGTCAGTATTTCATGAAACTAAATTTTGTAACTATAACTATGTGAATACTATTTTTCAAGGGGATTTCTATGTTTGTTTATGTTTCATTCAGAGAGAAAATGTATGAGTGTGTAAGAGAGTGCATGTGCATGTACAAGGTGTGTCCCTAAAGTCATGGCACACAATCTCATTAACTATATTTTTGAACCTCCACAGATTAAACGTTATTTTGACGAAAAAAAGAAAGAATTGACTTCTTTATCTGGTGTATGCTAAAGAAGGTGTACTCAATGAAACTCACAGATTCAACACATGATTTAGAATGCATAAAGAGTGAATATGTTAAAATTGACGGCAATATGTGGTTATTGCATCGAGTTTATGTAAATCTTGCAAATCGCATCAACATTTGCATCACAAATGATGAAAACCATATTGAAGATGATATTTGTTAATATTCCAGTGCGATAAAATGTCGTTGAAATTTTCATTTCCTGAAAATATACATTTTACCTGTGTATAAATGTAAGATTAAATGTTAATCTGGCTGGCACATTATACATGGGTGTGGGTTTCCATTGAATGGGGATAGAAAGAGCGGGCATTACGTTGAATGACGGAAGCGGAAACAAGTAGGATTTTGTGTTCACAGATAAGGAGCACAGAAGTCAAATAGAAGCGAGCAACAAAGATGGCTGATCTGAGAGATTGGATGAACACCCGACACTTCTTTTCATCTCCACATTATATCGTCCTGATCACACTTTTGTCATAAAAAAAAATAGTGAAAGAAGATGAGATAATAAGGGAGAAAAATAAAAAGGAAAAATAAGATCCTTCAACTTCTCAGTTTTTTACTTTTTTTTTAACTGGTATGATTTGTGAAAGTCAGAGGCAAAAGGATGTGTTGGAATATTCAGAATTTAATAATTGAAATAGTAGCATGTAAACATTTTGTGTTTATATAAAAAATACGATGAAAAGAGCAACACACACACACACACACACACACACA